AAAACAAAATAAAAAAGTTTGGCTAATAGAAATTTTAAAATTCACATTTGGCTCACATTTTATATCAGAGGATTGCCTCCTTTTCAAAATCTTAAGCTGCCTGCTCAAAGGACCAGAAGTCAGGAAGTTTATAAAATCTGAAATTGTTAAATAATCATTATTCGATTCTTTCCATTTGTGAATAGCCATATAATATGTTATTTATAAATGCATATCACCTTATACACAAGGTTAAATGGAAATATCCTCCTGTTGCTCGTGGTTCAGCTCAGGGAGGAAGCCCTGCCTGAAAAGGTTGCAGCCCAGGCTGTCACTTTCTTCATTTAGCCCAGTGTCTGGTCAAATCTTCTGTCACTCAGGGACTAAAGGGGCGGGACTAAAGGGGCGGAACTTAACGGTTATCTAGTCAGAGACTGTAGAAACCGTCCAATAGCTGGAAAGTACACAGGCCGGCTTCCGGATTTGGCGGGTTCTTTGTCTCTTCCTGCAGTTTGAGCTCCGGGTCTCGTCTTCGCCGCTCTGTGTCCTGCAGTCCTGGAGATCCAGTCTTTGTGGCCCTGTGACCTTCAGGTATTGAGAGATCCACAGCTGAGACGCCAGGAGCCGCTGGAAACCTAGAAATGGTGAGTGCGGGATCCGACATCTCGAGAGACGGAAAAGGGTCTGGTTGGAAGCGGTCGGAAGTGGCTGTAGCGGGACTCAGGCCCCCAGGAGTCAGTTCTAAAATCTGAGGCCGAGTTCACCTCGGCGCAGCTCGACCTTCAGTCCCTTCCGTCTTAAGATGGCGGCTGGGCGGAGAGGCGGGACCGCGGGCGTCCTGTCTCTCTCTTGCCTACACAGTGGCCTGGAGCCCGCTTTGGGCAGCTCGGCACCCACCGCGCCGCATCTCTCCTGGATTGTGCAGGGACCACGGGACGGTCGTCATGGGAGAATCCTCACTCGGGGTGCGAGGTTCATAAATCGGAAGAGCTTTTGGTCCCTCGTTTGTGAAAAATGTATTGGAGTCGCCGCAAAAATATCAAATAATTTATTTAAACAGTGGTTCAAAAATTGTAGAGCGCCCAGCTATGGTTTGTAGTTTGTGGTCCATAGGAGTGGGTTTAAGAGAAGACTTTTATAAGGTGCATGATTAAGAAAAACCCACATTTATTAATCGGTTAACATGGATAGTTTCTTAATGTTATTCACTTCCAATAGTACCGAATATTAAATGCATTTAATGAAGAGATCTTTCAAACAGGCTTTGTGTGGACAACAAGGCCGTTTTATTTATCGCTTGGGTGCAAACGAGCTGAATCCAAGAAAGGAAAAGGCGAAGAGGCTAAGTTGGGAATTGGCTTTATTTGTTGGGGTAGTTTTTTTGCGGGACGGGGGTGTTGCAGAGTAAGATCACAAGTTCAGTTACAAGGGCAGTGTTAGGCGAGAGGGATTTACATTATCATAAGAACAGTTAAGATGGCAGGCTTGGGTGAGGGCCTTGTCCGGGAAGCTCCGATGGACAATTAGAGACCATGGGGACCGCAGGCGGTGTAGGTGGAAGACTTAAGCCGGGGCAGGCAGGACTTCAGACTTTCGGGCTCCTGGCTTGCATATGAGACCTGACATTCAGGCTCCAGGCTTGCATATGGAGACCTGACAATTTCCACTTTAAGTTCCATATTTCCTGGTTATGCAATCAGAGGTTAATTGACGGTTTATAGTTGGTAAGTCTGATTTTTTTTCCCCCAATGTAGAAATTTACCAAAATAAAATAATGCGCTTGAATTAATTATTATTTTTTTAAGTGAAAAATCGAGACGAGAGCCACATCAGTCTCATTGCCTGCCACTTAGTTATTTTCACACACTACTGGGGAATGATTTTCCCCTGTGTTTTTCACAAGTATCCCAAGCAACCTCTCAAATCCATACCTTCCACTCCCACCCTACATTCGTTCATCCTAACTCTGGCTTGCAGTAAATTCTACATTTCCAGTTATTTTTGACATTCCCAAATGCCAATTTCCCCTCCCTAATTTACATTATCAGGTATTTGTCCTTTAGTGTACATGTTAGATACCAGATTTTCATTAATCATTCTAAAAAATAAGAATGTTATCTCTCTGCCACCCATGCTGGAGTGCAGTGGAGCAATCTCGGTTCACTGCAGCCTTTGCCTCCCAGGTTCAAGTGATTCTCCTGCCTCAGTCTCTTGAATAGCTAGATTACAGGTGCGTGCCATTACACCCGACTAATTGTATTTTTAGTAGAGGCGGGGTTTTACCACGTTAGCCAGGCCGATCTCAAATTCTTGACCTCAAGTGATCTGCACATCTCAGCCTCAAAGTGCTGTGATTACAGGGGTGGGCTACTGCACCGGCCATTAATCATTTTTTGACAAATAATTGAATGGGACTTTTACAAAGATGTGTTTTCTGTTTGAAAAATATTTCCCCTGAGAAGAAAGTAAAGAATAATCCCCTGACATTGTATTTTTTTAAATAACTCTTTTCTTTTTATTTTCTCTGGGTACAGAAGTCTTATCAGAATGTTTTTGGGTCAGAGATTTCCTTAAAAAAATTGTGGCGTTATTTGTCCTCAGCCACCCTGGTCCTGGGTTTCAGTACTGTTTTGGGATAAATGAAGATACCTGACATGGGTATGTCTACTGGAGTGTCTCGTGAATATCAGCTCCTGGGTTATTTTCTTTCATAGGACAACCTGAGGTATGGAATGTAGCCTCTCAAGGAAGAAGATGGAGGCTGTGGGGCTGACAGGAATCTCCTGATGTACTCTGTTTTTTGAAAAGCTAACCCCTTGAGACATTAAAACTGTCTTTACCCAACCCAGCTTCCATTTCTTGCAGACGCATTGCTGGTCTGCCAATCAGATGCTAGTATTGAGGAAAAAAACATAGAAATAATTTCTGCCCCCTGGATTTTTTAAAGGGACAGAAAAATAGTGAAATAAATATAAAGAAAAATACTTAAAAATTTTGTGGGAAAAAAGGCATCACAAAAGTTAGAAACAACCTGACCCCAGTGAGATGGTGTAAGAGCTTGCAAAATGAAACGTATCTGAGGCACTCACTGAGGCACACATAGTGCAGCCTCTCCTCATCAGGTTGTTATTGAGCACTTAAGTGAGCAGGATGGAGTGGAGAGTCTCTCAAGTGATTGAATGGCCTTACTTGATACATGAGTAAGGCAAATTTGTTTTTTAATCAGCACTGCCACTCTCTGAGTTTGTCACCTTTAAAAGATTGTTCACTTACTTGGACCTCAGTTTTTATTTGTAAGTTGCATTTTATTAGTAGGGCTTGAAAGGAAAAAAAGAAATTTGCAAAGGGCATAAAAGAGGTGGCTTTCATAAATAAAAAATTATATCTAATTATATATTTCAATTGTTAAAAATTCTCATTTACCTTTTTCTTTCCCAACATGAGTTTTGAAATTTTCTCAGGTGAGTTTTTTATGGCTTGGTGATTTCAAACAGCATTTTAAGGCTTAGCTTTCAGAATGCTAGCTATGAAAGAAAAGAATATGAGAAATCTCCTTCCATTTTGGCTGTAGAAAATGAATACCTTTCCACAAGAAAATGTGATAGATAACTGGTGAGTTACATAGATTCATGAAAACATTAGGTCCTCTTCTTGCAAGGTACATTTGTGACAGTGACTATCTCTGTTCTCTATCCCATTATCTTGATTTCTAAGTTTCGTGCTAAATTTTTCTTGCTTTAGAAATGTTACCATGTGACTAATTGTTTACAACATGATTTTTAATTAAAATAATCCAATAATATATTTATTGTTTGAAAGAACTAGATACTTTTACTTTTCTTATCCAGGTATGAAATGTAGACACCTTAAAATTTCCTTCCTTATGTTAATACTGTGCTTGAGTAATTTTGCTGAATTCTACACACAGTTTCAAAAGCCAAGTGAATAACTCTGAGATGAAAATTAAAGCCTGAGCCCAGTGACTCTGAGCTAAGGGTAATATTGAACCTGCACAAAGAGGTTATTAAAGGCCCAATTATTTCTTTCTGAGGAGCCTCGTGTGCAGCTGTCTCAGCCTGCTCACCTCAGCCATGGAAGAAGTCTTTATACTGAGAGAATCTTCAGAGCCCTGGAAAGCTGGGGGTCCACAGGCAGATGGAAGGGGACTGGCAGAGTCTTACTGAAGGTGAAGTTGTTACTGTTATGAGGTAGTTTCTAGATTTTGTAAAATAAAGCAGTTAGATTTAAGTAAAAAATAAAAATTGAATTTCAGAGGAATATTGCAACAGGAGGAAGTACTAACTATAAGATCTATAAATATTGCACAATTTAGGCAGACAAGGGGTTTTTTTCATAGGGAGGAGCAAAGCTGATTAAAAAGAAGGTTCAACGGGAATGGGAAATGGAGGCTGAATAATCGGATTTTAGGTCAGAGAGTGTTTTACCCTGAAGTCAGCATGTTCTTAGGAGAAACAATATGCATTTATTTGTATGTTGGTCAGATGAGGGTAGCTCAAAGTCTAGGAGTCTGTGGAAAGGAGATAAACTTGAGTAAAGTTTGATGAAGAATATTTTATTTTGATCACTGAAGACGAATTCAGCTGATTTTTTTTTTTTTTTTTTTAATGAAGAAAAGAAGAAAATGTGGATAGCCTGTGTCTGGATGTGTGAAAGGTAATAAAGAGAGCACCATCTAAGTCATATTGGGAAGGGTGTTTCCATGAACTGTTCCTGGAGAACACAAAGGAAGGAGAATTTTATTAATTACAGCTATTCACCTGGATTATCTATATGCTTCGTTTCTGACCATCTTTTTATTTGTTCTATACATTTCTTCCATTTGACTTGTCCGGGGTTGTATCTTTTAAAATAAACTGGTAAACATAAATAGAGTGTTTTTCTGAGTTCTGTGAGTAGCTCTATCAAATAATTGAACTTGAGGGAGATTATCAAAATCTCCAATTTTTAAACAGTAACTCATAAGTATAGATGAGCCCATGAGGTTTGTGACTGACATCTGCAGTAAGGACAATGTTGTGGGACCGAGCCCTGAATTAGAATCTGTGCTGACTCTGGGTGGTGCCAGAATTAAAATAACAGACAATGAGTTGGTGTTGGAGAAATGCTTGAAGTTCAGCAAACTTTACAGAATTGATGACAAAATAAAGATATCACAGAGGCCTGGCCTGGCCTGGGTTGGAGTAAAACTCTGGGTGTCTGGGAATGGAGGCTTTAGTTTACTGTACACAGGCTGTCACACCATTGTCCTGTGATTCCAGGTCTTCTCTCAGGGTGAGAAACAGTTGAAAACTTAGAAGAAAGGAGTTCTGATAGCAGACCCTCTTTTCCCACAGTGCCACCACAGGGTTTTCACCCACTCACAAACATACCCACTAGACATTGCTGTGTCTGCAGCCCTCCCAGGACAAGAAAGCACACTTAGAAATTTCACCACAGCCTTTTCAATCCTGTTGTTTCTTGCCAAAAACCTGCTAAAGTATCTACGAGTCTCCTGGCATATACCTATCCTCAGACACTCAATCTGCAGCAGCAACCTGTTTTCTCCACCAACCTAGGGTTCTGGACCATCTGTTTGTATTTTCATCTACCTCCATGGACACAGAAATAAGCTAGAGTGCAGCTCCACCTGGGCCACTATCTGTAGCACAAACCATTTCTTCCACCTACATTATACTCTCTCCCACCCATGGATTTTTTTTTTTTTT